TTTCGCGAGCAATTTCTTGCTCTAGATCAAGATCTCTACCATTTCTTAGACTCACCGCCATAAGGTGCTTCTGGCCCTGCTCTTTTGGATTGACATGTGTGTCTGCAGGTAACGTCCCTTGGGGATGATTATTCAGAGCCATAGATATCTGTCCTAATTGAATCTCAATGCCTTTTATCATTGAGTCGTGTACTTCCACTTTCTCTTGCATTTTTCCATTGGACCCAATCAGTTGTTGCAGCATTCCTTTAATTTCAGACAACCCATCATCTTGTCTCAGTATCTATTGTTCTTGAGGCTGTTGATAAGCTAGCTGCTGATTTTGCTGATTGTATCCTTGTTTCCTTTGGTAAGGCACAACTTAACCCTGTGGTCGCATAGCTCCAGGATTGTTTCTATTATTGTACTGCTGCCCCCAATTCTGACCACCTTGCTTCTGTCCTCCATAGTTGCCCACATAGTTCATATTTTCCTGATAGTTCTGGTTGTCACTTTCACCACTCCACGAGCACACATATGGTTGGCTAATACATGGTGTACATAAGACTCCATTAGCCGTGTCAACAATATGTACCTGCTTCTGACCTGATTCGTCAATCTTCTTGGTGAGGATACTCATTTGCGTCATCAGAGTGGCCATATTCTCGGCTATGGAGTTGTTTGGGTCCAAAGCCACTGAGTGAACTACAGGGGTTATTGTAGTGTCTCTTGTCATCCATCCTGAGTTTTGGGACATTTTATCTAGCAGGACTTTACACTCTCTAAATGATTTGCTCAAAAATGCCCTTCCTGCTGAAGCATTAACATTGGCCTTCAAGTTATCTGCCAATCCCATGTAAAACCTTTGTCCCAATATCTGATTTGGAATGCCATGATGTGGACACTTAACCAGCATCCCCTTGAACCTCTCCCACGTTTCTTATAGTGTTTCAATTGGTTTGTGCCTGAAGCTCAATATCTCATCAACTTGCTTGGCAGTCTTATTTGGCGGGTAGAACTTGTTCAAGAACTGTTTGACCAATTCCTCCCATGTGGTGATGGAATTTATGGGGAGCGAATTGAGCCAATTCTGAACTTCTCCAGTCACTGAGAATGGAAACAATAACAGTCTGATTGCTTCCGGTGTCATATTCGGTTGCCTTTGAGTGACACAAATTGACAAAAAAAATTTCAGATGCTGTTGTGGATCTTCAATATATGACCCTAAGAACATTCCCTTGTTCTACTTGGTTTGTGATTTGAAATGACTCCGCTTGTATCTGCGGGACTGCAATTGCAGTTGCCAGATTTTTAGCGGTGGGTTATGCCCAATCATACAAGGCCGCTTCTAGCATAAGAGGTGTCACACCCTGATTGTTCGGGTCAATCACATTGTTTTGATTGTTTTGGTCGTCTATGACGTCACCCATGTCTAGTTTGATTCATTCTGTTGAGTTCTATTGCCGTTTGTCCTTCTTGTTTGCATGATTTAATGCCTTGAAAACTTTCTCAGGATCCGATAATGCTTCAAACAATTCACCAGTTCTTGAGGAGTTTCTAGGCATGCACCTGTAACACCCAAGACTACAAATGTTAGAATTTTAATATAATTAATTTAAAATGAAGAAAATTGATTAAACTAAGAATCCTAGCAATTCTTCTAGCTGTAATTAATAACACAGTTAATTCTCCGGTAACGGCGCCAAAATTTGATCACGCCCAACTATGCTTCCTAAGATATCTAGCGGTCATTGCAAATATAATCCGATTTACAAGTCCGGAGTCGAATCTCACAGGGAATTAACCTACTAATTACAACTACTAGACTCGTATGAATTCAAGTAATCAACATTCAGAAATATTAAATAACGATTTGAATGTTTACTAACTAAGAGAAAAATAATTAAAATACAGTAATTTATAACTAACAGAGGAAAGGTTGTGGACAAGATTTGGAACAGTCTAAGGTTATGATTTTCCCTATTATCGGAATCCTCCCCGCTATGTTTCCTATAAATTTGCCTAAGTATTCTCTACCGATCGTGAGTACTTTGAGTGTCGTAATTCTCTTTCGAGTAACTACCATAATTTACTAGACGTATTCTTCTAAACTACGCTAGCTAGCTCTAATTCACCGCTCACTAGGATCGCACCAAGGTTTTGTTATTCCTAATTCTACCTTTAAACCCTCCGTATTAATTCCTCACATACGTTAGGAGTGATGTTGTTCAATGACTACCTAAATATGTATTCTTTTCCAAGCACTACACACTAAATAGGTACAGTCGATTGAGAGCTCTTCAATCAACCACAATGTAAACGTAGTTGAATAAGTAGAGAAAAATCAAAGGCAAATCTATATTAAACTTAGTAGAAAATCATCCTTCAATAGGTTCCATCAAACCCTAGATTAGAAGTTTAGCTACTCATATTCGTAGTAATAATTTTTCAAGTATTTTGCATAAACAAATTACAAAGAAAAGATGAAGGAATGAAGAACTTGATGATTCTCTCCTCCAAAAATTGTTCCATGTGATGTTCTTACCTCCGGTCGTCAAAAACTCCTTAAAATGGTGTTTAATGACTATTTATATGTGTAGGGAAAAGACCTAAATGAAATAACCAAGTCCAAAACCAAATAGGAGACAAAATGGGCCTTATAAATCCGGACCACCCTTGCTACAAGCCTCGCACGCGAGCTCTACAGCGCGCTCCACCTCACTATACACTGTGCCTCGCAAGCTCTATCGCGCGCATCCTCTCGCGGTAAGCCTCACGCCGCCTGCTCTAACGCGAGCTACAAAGCTCGCCTCGCTTGCTCTATAGCGAGCCACAAAGCTCGCTTCACCTCGCTATTGCTTCGTTTACATTTTTGACTTGCTTTGCCTAACTGTCTCTCGAAGCTTGTTGATTTTGAGTGCTGCCTTCATTCTTTGATCCTTGTGTCCGACAAATGCATGCATTCATGTAAATACATATAATATACTTCCAAAATATTCGCGTTGCTCACAATTTCATCTCCAATGTACCTACACATAAAATAACTCAATTAAGCACAAATATAATGTAGTTTAGCATTAAAGCTCCTAAATGTAAGGTAAGTAATGCACTAAAAATATATCATTATAACTAAACATCAACAAGCCATGGACCATTATAACCGTTATGGATAGATCCTAAATTATCCCAAAGAGTATCTCGGTCTAGTTTGTTGGTACTAGCATAAATTGCACTAAATAACCAGGATTTGCGATAAGGAAATATCTCTACCATAACATGGATCTCCTGCTTTCTTTTGATAAAGTTATTGTTCCATAGAGTAACCATACCACCAGATTGTCCCTCCGCTGGAACCTCTATTAATTCGGTAAAAGTGAATTCATTTAGTAATGGGGTATGAATTTCCATCCTAGTTTCTAGTAAAGCAACCAAGCAAAACTTATGGGTGTCAATCAACTCCCTAAAGTTTCTCTTAAAGTTATCATTGTTCGATACGCGAACATTCCAGACTACAAAGCTAGTTGGTCGATTCATCATCACATAATGGTGTTGGTTTTCGCTTCTCTCCTCCCCCAAAGGTGAAGAAAGGCTTGTCCTCAGGGAAGGAACTATGACTTCGTTTGGGCTTGAAAATTCTATCCCCAATTCCCTGATTGGTGGTGATATCCCTTCTCCTCTCTATACTACTTTTTCTCTTTGTTCGGGAGCATTGTGAGAGGGATTGGCATCCGTTGGTGCATGATTCTTTTAGTCTTGCTTTCTTTGTTGCCTCAGAACTTGTATGAGCTAGTGTCTCATCCGTAGGAAAATTAGTATTATCGGCATTACACAGAGTATTGGAATTTATAATGTAGGGATCACTTGAGGAAGTGGGCATTGTAGAAGGGGAAAGAGGCAAATCAATTATTGTTATAGAGCCTAATTGCACGCCCTTCTCCACTTGTACAGCTTCATTAGCCAGTTGGCTATTTAGAAACTCCGCTGAGGACAAGCTAAGTGATCTTGGTTATTAGTGTCAGTAGCGGTCTTGGCAGAATTATTGGAAGGATTGAAGCTTTGGTTATTAAAACGGTGTAAGAAGCGTAGTGAAAGGACAAATATTCCTAGTTTCCTATAATTTCTCCAATTGGAAAAGGGAGAAGAAAAATAATTAAGTATAGTTTCTAAAAAAACGACGCGTCAAACTCTTATATATAATTATGGCAATCCTACTCTCAAAAAACATATTGCTAATTTGGCCGTTTTGAGTTGAAGAATTCACTCATAACCAGGTAACTTTCTTTCTTTCTTTTCTTTTTTCACGTTGTTAATTTTGAAGCTCTATTTCGTCGCAAATCTGGTAGAACGGATTATATTGGAAAATAATATATTAATTTGTTTTTTCCTCTTTTGGTAAAGCAATACATGTTCTTGAAATTATGTAATAGTAGACGTTCTTGAAGTTTAAATTTAGCTCTCAATTTGAAGTTTGTATTAATTCTCAACTTTTCTTTTCCTGGACTTTGGAGTTTCTATTTTATTAAGGCACAATAAAATTGTTCTTCCTTCAATGAGTTTTAAGTGTTTTGGATTAATTGGAGATTATTTCTTTGAATTTTACCATTAAGGAATATAGTTCTAATTTCTTGTGCTGATTGTTTCTCTATGGCTGATTTTCGTGAATTCTAATTACCAGAAAGCAGCATCCACTCTTCACAAAAATGCAGACAATATATGAATGTCTTTAATAAAAGCCTTTGTTACTTTACTTTTTGGTGCTTAATTTACTATTAACCAAAATTTTGTTTCTAGTTTTAAAGAAAGAAATTCAAAATTTTGATGCCCTTTTTAAAATTAGAATTCTCATTACCGATTTTCTTTTCTTGTTTTTCTAGCCGTTAGGGAACATTACCGACTCTGTTTTTTCTTTTTACTATACTAAGCAGAAAATCAAGGTTATTTTCAGAAACTTCATTATAGTGTATGCTTTTTTTTCTTCTATTTAATTGTATATGTATGTTTTCTTGAACAGGCAAATTAAAATGGGAAGATCAAAAATCAACATGGAACTTATTCAGGATCACAAGACAAGGAAATCCACTTTCCAGAAAAGGAAAGCTTGCTTAATAAAGAAAATCTCAGAGCTCTCAATACTTTGTGATATCAAAGCATGCATGATAATATATGAAGGTTATAATTGTGAAGAAATTTGGCCAAATGATCCAAACGAAGTTCAAGAGCTAATAAATCTGTACAAAAACCAACCAATCGAAGACCGGAGTAAAAGAGAAAACAGCTTGTGTAGCTTCTTGGAAAATCAAAAGAAAAAGGCTGAGATTAAAATGGCAAAGTTGAAGAAAAAAATCAAGACAGAAAAATACCCAACTTGGGATTCAAGATTCAACTATTTATCTGAAAAAGAATTACGAAATCTTGCTGGGGTTCTTGAGAAAAAGATGGAGAATGCAAAGGGAAAATCTGAATTCTTGAAAAGTAGTAGGAATATTAATCAAGAAATATGGGACTATCCTGAATTAATGGACAACTTCAACCAAAGTAATCCACAGCCTATTTCTTATATGGATAATCAGTTTTTTCAAGAATTGACAGCTGATTTTGATCAAGTAATTTCAAGTACTGATCATGTGAATTCAATGGGAATTTTGGATAATGGGCAGCTTAGTGTTGGTGACTATCAATTTGGAAATTCAGATTATATGAAGATTGAGGCAGAAGATTTGTTGGTGAATAATGGTATTATTGGTTCAAGTTCAAGAATGCAGCCTGTGGAGTTAAATCAGTACTCTTTTATAAGCAGTGGCTCTACCCAAATGCCTTATGGATACTTGCAGTAGATTTTGATTAGATTATTATATGACAAACACAATTGAAATGATATTTTTGTATATTTAGTAGTTTCTCCTTTGTTTGCTTTAAAAGCAGTTGGAGCAAACAAATTAGGAACTTCTTTTGTTAGATTAAATACAGCTTGTAATATTATAGTTTTGGTGCTCCTAGTTGCAATCTCTTTTGTAATGATAATAGTATTTCCTTTTTAATCAAAAAAAAAAAAAATACTCCCTCCGTCCCAAATTATCTGTCGTGTTTTCTAAAAATAGTTGTCTCAATTTATATGTCATTTTAGAAGTTCAAGACAAAATTGATTATTATTTTTTCATTTTATCTTTAATAGTAATTGTTTTTGAAGATGGAGATATCACATAAATAGAATAAATATTCAATGAAGAGGAATTATATCATAAGACATAAACAAGACTAAAATAGTCTAAAATCTCTTCTAATTAATATTTTTTTAAAGGACGTGTAAAAGAGAAACACGACGGATAATTTGAGACGGAATGAGCGAGTAATCTTCAATGCCGAAACTTGAGGTCTCATTTTCTTTTAGTGTAATATTAGGAATTACGACAAGATTTTTGAAAGTTTCGTATTGGGAAACCTACCCACTTCCCAAAAGTTTGAGATTGAATATTTTTAATTAGAATAACAGAGATTAATTTTGAGAATTACCAATATGATTTATATAAACTAAGGACTAAATTCTAGAGGCTTCCTTCTCTTATTTTCTTCCTCTATTCTACATTCTAAGTTCAGCAGCGAGCCTCTTTTTTGTATATTTTCTAACTAATAGCACCAAATCACATAAGAAATTAAAGGGGTCGGGGGAGGGGCAAATACTATCTTTTATAAAACTAACTTATATACTACATCAACTCAACTGAATACAACATCCTACTTGATAAAACTGGACCAAAATAGCATCTTTTTTTAAGGAGGAAATACAAGAGAATAATCCACATCATATTTCTCCACAAAAAAAAAAAGAGATGTGTAACAAGAAAATAAAATGACCAAAGAATCTACATAATCAGTTTTGAAAACTTTTTATTTCCATAAACAAGTTACCAAAAGTGAAAAAAGAATCTACATAATAAATTGAGTAAATTAACTGAAACCATTATACAAATTTACAACAATATACCATATATTGGCATAGTGTATTAGTGATACTTAGTTACTTATCTTCTATGTATACAATCTAGGCAACATTTTAATTTACATTTAAAAATTTAAAACTCCTATAGATTAGATTCCTCTCTTTTTTTAGGTAGCTTCTTACATAATGTATATATTACTATTCTTTTCAGAGACTATAAATACATGCAGAACATAAAGTTCTATGATATTTCAATACAACAAAAAAAATATACTCATACTTACGTACTGTCAATTCTTGAGATGGCAAAGGCAACATTGACTTTGGTTGTTCTGTTTTGCTTAGTTTTTTGCAATTTTAGCCATATTGGGGAATCCTTTGAATTGGAAAAACAAAATCATTTCAATGATGTTGAGATAAATAAGCCTCAATGCCAAAATGATGATGATTGTGTGAAATTTTGTAAAGTTCATTTTGATTACCCAGGTTGTGGATGTGAGATCAGTGGAATGTGTCGTTGTTGCGTTCCATCACCACCTAATGTTTAGGTATAATGTACTTTGGATGATTTTATTTTGAGTAAAATGAAGATTTATTATAAGCTCTGACCATTTTGAGAACTTCTACTTGTTTTCTTACCCCAAGTGATCTTCTATTCTCTGTTCTGTGTTTCAATTTCTTGTTTTTTTTTTCCTTATTTTTCTTTTCTATTTTTAGAAAAAGGGATCAAATCTAAGCCAAGTTCATCTCACTAATTAATTAGCCCCTCGAATGCATATACGTATGGGGTAAAAAAAAAAATACGAGCATTGAAGAAAATTTTTAGGTTCATTGACAGTGTCAAAGGTCTAAAACATGTGAAGAACTAGGAGGTAATCATTAATGGTTGTGATGGGATGAATAGGATCCATCCATCCTTAATTAGAAATTTTCGGTAAATTATTGGAGGGGAGCATCTTCCTCTTTAATGGACCTTACATGGCGTTAATCCGGTTTAGTCTAGGACCAATATGGAATAAAAAAATTACAGAGAACTATAGAAATAAGCCACAAATATACACTATTTATCAATAATTAGCTATTAAATTATGCTACCAAAAATAACCAGAAAAAGTTATCAATGATATACAATATTCAAAATATTTAGGCAAATTTTTTTCCGTTGGTTATGGTCAGAATTCATTTAAAACACATAAATATATACAAAATTTGAGGAAGATTGGAGGTGATTTAGACTAATTTGAAGACAAAATTTGTTACCAATGATATATATAACATTCAAAAAAACCAACACATTTTTCCAGTAAGTATGGGTGGAATTCGTTGAAAACACATGGTGAGATAATATACAAAATTTAAGGAAGATTAGAATTGAATTGGAATCAAAATTCATAGTTAAAATCGAGTTTAAAATTTTGTCTACAAACACATGTATCTCACTGTTGCATCACCAAAATTGGATGTTCATGAAAGACGATACCACAAGTTAATCTGTAATCAAAGTCATATACGAGGGGAAGAACACATCATTCTAGGTGTACGAGGAAAAGAGGCGGACCCAAGATTTTAACGCGACGAGTACACCAATATTCTGCTCAACGGTGTCTCTTAAAAGCTTTTAATGTTCAGGGTGCCAAGTTATTTATATAATCATTTTCAAGGTATACATACATATATAAGATTTCTGCCAAAAGTTTAAAGGGTTGAGCGACCCCCCAATGTTATACATTGGCCCCCTTCTGATGAGGAAGTTTCTTAAGCTTCTCACAATATGTTATTATGTTGAGACATTGCAGTTGAGGAAGTCGACTGATGCTACTAGGTAAATAGACAAACTTGTTTCCGCTCAGGTTTTGTTAAGGACGTGAAAACGTTGGCTATCTTGAATGAAGAGATGAGTTTTACTAATATTTCGATGTTAAAACAGAGTTTTACTACTCATCTTATCTAAGCCACCAAATCCAAACATTCAAGAAATTAGATGAACACCTTTTGTTTACAAGGTGTGCACAAGGAAAAAGTTAAAATAGGTGTGCACAAGGAAAAAGTTAAAATAGGTGTGCACAAAAAAAAATCGCTTAGTAATAATCAGTTCGGTTCAATTTATACAAACTTATTTCCTTTTTAGTCCGTGTGCAAAAAAAATATGACTCATTTCCCTATTCGAAAACAATTTACTTTTATGAAATTATTTATAGTCACACAAAATATATGCGTTTCATTTTACACCACAAGTTCAAAAGTTATTTCTTTTCTTAAACTCCGTACCCAATCAAATGGGTTCATATAAATTAAAACGGAGGGAGTAGTTCTTTAGAACAAACACAGGCAAGCATATGATAGTTCTTATATTTGATAATAAATCTCTCGACAATATGTTTCTGACTACTACATTTCACATCCAACGAAATTATAAGCTACTCATTTTTCCAAAAATATCTTGACGAAACAAAGTTACGTAGGAGAGTAAATAGAAATAGAAAACTGAAACAAAGCTAAACACAAAGATCTTTTAAGTCTAGCAATTCACTTCGAGTACATGCAAACATAATCAAAATAATCGCATCACACCATCTGGAGAAAGATCCTCCATGGAAACTGAATTCCATTAACGGTACTGCAATACAAATCAAAGAGATTAACCACTTGCAATAGAAAATGACCAAATTGACAAACAATTGAAAGATGGTCCAAAAACCAAACTGAATTACATAGCCAATCATCTTATAACAAGTACTCAGAAATTGCCTACCAATTAAATGATATTGGGTAAATAAGAAATGCTTAAGAAATGAAATTTTGAGAGTGCTCTTTGTACTGAGTTCAGGTGATGATCCGAATTTCCAAAGGGTTGTTATTAATGACATTAACTGGAAAATGACTTCCAAGTCAATTATAACTTAGTGTAGATGACCATAACATTGACTACCGGAGCAGGTATCCAATTTTCTACCATGTTCCTATTGCTATAGTTGCAAAAATAAGGGTCTTGGACTAAAAATTTAGCTGCGATTTGCCAGATAAAGAAAAGATAACAGAGCTTAGCTCAAACCGTAGACAAGTAGCTCACTATCCAGGCAATCTAGAGGGACAGAGTGTAATAAAAGGATTCAGTTTCTCGTTCCTTCTTTTTTGATTAGTACGCAGATTCAGCATTTTACCTTAATGAAGCCAATTTCCTTTGCATTGCTGCGGAAGCACTGCCTGCAGCACATAAGCCCATACTTCCTAATAATGGCATGTGGATTGCCACATACGCGGCTGTATAAATACAAAGAGTAATTAGATATACATCAAATATTTTTCACAAAAAACTCTTAACATGAGAGTAAATCCAACTACGGAAGCTAAAAGGAGTGAATATCCAAAGGTACATTGTCTAGCACCGCTGAATGATAGTCATAGTATTACTCAAAAGTCAAAACAAAAGACGTCATGAAAACCAAAACTTGCAAATCACAAAATGCAAATCAGAATCCCACGTATAGTAGCTAACATGAATTCCAAAATACAGTGTCTTGAGCAATACCCCTACTTTGAATCAAATGAAACAAAACCCGGTAAAGCAAAAAACACTTGCAAAAAGACACACGTCTGGTTCATTACTACAAGCACTACGAAGCTGTAGCAAAGCACTGGAAACATAGCACTTAATATGTCCAGATCATAGAAAAATATTTTTATAGGACAAAAATATACAGGAACGAATTAAATATCTAAAATTTGTGAAAGGAAATAAACTGCAATCCACTAGGAACGATTTGATCAGCATTGTATGTGGCACTTAAAGTTCTTTCATATCATAAATTACCTTGTTGTGCCATTCAAAACTCTTTTAAACCATAATTTACGCAATTATTGATCATATTTGAACAATCTAAAGTACTCATATTTACATCACGACACATAACAAATCTGAAAAAAAGAAAGCCAGGCTTTTGACTGAAAATTCCCAAATTGCCGCTAGAAAACATACAGTTCACACATACAAAGGTAACTATCTAAGTCTCTACTATAATTCAACTAAAAGTTTCAGTATATCTCTGACTCTATCTTCTTTATAATTCCAAAAAGGATATTACTCTAGTTTTTATTTTCAGCATTAGGTTTTGTCACCATCTAAATCGAACATCCATGAAAAAAAAAGAACAAAAATAAGTGAAACTAAAGATATAATTCCCAAAAAAATCTATTAATTAGGATTTAATCAAATAGAAAGAGAGAAGAAAAGTTACCAGGTCCGAGAGCCAGGGCCGTAGTTTTTGGGGTGAGCGTTCCAGATGTTGGAGTGACCCATCTTCTGAAGTCGGCTGCAGACTGCGCTTCTGAAATATATGGAAAAACCCTAATCACTGCACTTGTTTAGATCTGGGAGGAGATATATAAATAGGCATTACTTTAGGGGCATTCGTGGAATTACACCTCCTCCAATACTATAGTTGTTGTTTTTTTCTCTTTTTGATAAAAACATTTCAGCTTATAATTTAAATTTTTTGTAACATATTATAGCATAGTATTAATAATCAGTTGATGTTTATCTCAGAATATATCTAAAATTATTCTTATAATTGTGTGAGCTAATTGAGTGCGAAGAGCTTAAACTCTTCAATGTTTATGGTATTGTTGTTTATCTCGAAATTTATAAACTAAGAAAAGTCAAAGAAAAAGAACGTTAAAAAAAATCTATTTAGTTTTTTTATTCAAATATTTTATATACTCTGTATTTTCCATTAAGGCTGATAATCTTAAATCTTTTATTTAAGGGTTTTGTAGGCATGTAAAATTTATTGGATTTAAATTCGATAAATAATTTGGATGATATTTTAAATATACTAATCCAAATAATTATTATGGGCTAATATAATTTGATCAATTATATAAGTCACATATATATAGATTAAATAAATAGGCCTTAATCCATTGGGCTAGCCCATTTAGTTGGCTGCAAATCATGGCCTACTTCATTAAGTCCAAAATGTCTTCTTCCTAGAGGCTCAATTTGGTGCCACGTGTCAAATGACGTGGCACGCCAAGTCAAACGGAAAAGCCAATAGGGTCATGACATGTGTCAGAATGACAGGGCAAAGCCAAATCAAAAGGCCAATGAAATCGCGCCATGTGTGCAAGTGATATGTTTTGGCCAATCAAATGCGGTCATGTCACACTTCAATTTGATTGGTCGGAAAGAGTTTGTTCTTATCATTACTCTTTCCTCCCACAACTATAAATAGGGGTCTCCATAACGCAGAAAAGGGACCAGAAGTTATAATAAGAAGACACAAGGGAGCTCGTGGATCAAAGGCCATAATTCTCTACAAATTGCAAGTGTTCACGCATTCAAGCACTTCAACACAAATTTTAAGTATTCAAGATCAAGAACAAAGTCAAATAAAATACAAGGCGTTCAAGATCAAGACTACTTGTTCATGATAAAATTCGTGGCAACAATCAAAGCATTCGCGGCGGATATTTGATATCAAATACTACGATTGTTGCAATATTTTTCGGTCTTGACTTTATTTTCTCGACGCCAATTTATTGTCTACAAATTCTGGCACGCCCAGTGGGACAATCTCTACCTCTCATTTCAACTTTTCAATCACCAAAGTTCAAGAACATCAAAATGGATTCACATAAAATTAAATCCAGATCAACTTCCTGTAAGGCTGCTAATTCCAAGTTATATGCTGATGTGGAAAGCATCCTCGATGTTACTTTTGGAAGCTTTGGGTCAGTTACAAGGAGCAAAGCAAGCTCTTTAGGACAACAAACACTCCAAGTGTCGTCCGCGTCAACCCCTATTTTCGGATCTTCATCTTCAAAAGGAGCACGATCCTCTACAAGGACGACCCAAAAAGGGATCGACGTCGCCAAAAGGATCGAAAAGGTTCTTGCCCAACTTAGTTTATCTAAACTTTCATGCAAGCTTATGATGATGACTTGAGCGCTGGATCTACTATCTCCATTAATGCGACCTCCAAGGTCTATCCCAATAATGATCTATTTCATTCTTCATCCTCTACGGACATCATGCAAGCAATGGTTATTGAAGTTTATACCGTAGAAGAACAGCTCGCAAATTTGACAAAAGCAGTTGAAGGCTTGTCAAAGCGCGTGCAAGATCAAGATGCTAAACTTTTCAAGTTAACAAATAAGTTAGATGGCATAGTAGAAGGAGAATCCATACAAACACCTTTAAATCTTCAAAGATTACAAGAGAAATGGGACTCCTCCAAAAATCAAGCAACGACAACCAAGGAGATCCAAGTCTCCGCTGAAGGTCTAATTCCCATTGAAATATTAAAGGATTTCATCATGGAGGCTATCAAAGATAAGCCTGAGTCGTCGTCCAAATTATCTCTCACATATGCAAAGCCGTATACGCAAATAATTGATAACTTAAAGATGCATGTTAGTTATCAACCTCCTAAGTTGCAACAATTCGATGGCAAGGGAAATCCGAAAAAACATATAGCGCACTTTGTTGAAACTTGCAACAATGCTGGAATGTACGGTGATTATCTTGTCAAACGGTTTGTTCGATCTCTCAAAGGTAATGCATTCGATTGGTACACAAATCTTGAATCTGGATCCATCGATAGATGGGAGCAGTTAGAGCAGGAGTTTTTCAATCATTTTTATAGCACAAGACGCATCATAAGCATGATCGAACTTACAAACGCTCATCAACGAAAGGATGAGCTAGTTATTGACTTCATCAACCGCTGGAGGAGCTTAAGCCTCCACTGCAAAGATCGCCTTAGTGAAACTTTGGGCATCAAAATGTGCATTCAAGGCATGCATTGTGGTCTTCGCTATATCTTACAAGGCATAAAGCCCAAAACGTTTGAAGAACTAGAAACTCATGCTCATGATATGGTACTAAATATGGCCATAAGTGCCGACCAAGGGCTACTTGTCTTTGAGCCTTACGACGACGAAGAAGAAGAACAAGAAGGCGAGGATGGGGGGCAAGTTTTCATTCGAAAATGAAACTGAAAAGTCTATGCATGTCACTATGCTCCTTAATGCATGAGCATAAACTACAAGTTATAATGCTCCTAAACGCACGAGCCTAAACTGCAAGTTATAATGCTCCTCAACGCACGAGCTTAAACTGCAAGTTATAATGCTCCTTAACGCATGAGCCTAAACTGCAAGTTATAATGCTCATCAATGTACGAGCCTAAACTGCAAGTTATAATGCTCCTCAACGCACGAGCTTAAACTGCAAGTTATAATGCTCCTCAACGCACGAGCTTAAACTGCAAGTTATAATGCTCCTCAATGGACGAGCCTAAACTGCAGGTTATAACGCTTCTGGCATGCCCAGTGGGACAATCTCTATCTCTCATCTCAACTTTTCAATCAACAAAGTTCAAGAACATCGAAATGGCTTCAAAGAAGGTTAACTCCATATCAACTTCCACCAAGACTGTTAATTCCAGGTTTTATGCTGATGTGGAAAGCATCCTTGACGTTACCTTTGGAAGCTTTGGACCAACTACAAGGATCAAGGAAAGATCTTTAGGACAACAAGCACTCCAAATGCCATCTCGGATATTCATTCTCAAAAGGAGCAAGATCTTCTACAAAAGCACCTGAAGGAGGAAGCGATGTTGCTGAAAAGATTAAGAAAACTCTTGATCTACTTGACCTCTCCGGATCCAAGAACTCAACTGTAAAGGAAGATGATGATGTTTCAAGTGATGGATCCTCCCCACTTACACCGCATAGCATGAGCCAATAGAGGATCAATCTGTGTGACAATCCATGCTACTCTCCATCATCCATAACAACCATGCAAACCATAGTGACAAACGCTTCATTTGTGGAGGAGCAGTTGGCAAACTTGACAGAAGCAATCGCTGGCTTGACCAAGTGCAAGCAAAATCAAGACGCTAGAATTGACAAGCTAACATACATGGTAGGAATCTTGATGGAAGAAGAATCCACTCATGCACCGGGAAAGCTCCCAGAAGTTTCAGAGATTGGTTCTCCCCTAAGACGAGTAGCATCCGCTAGGGCTATCCATGTCTCGTCTGAAGGGATGATTCCAATCGATCAACTGAAGGAGTTCATTGAAGGAACTATTAAGAATAAGTATGAAGTTGCTGCCAAGTCTTCCCTTACATATGCAAAGTCGTACATTGCAAGGATCGATATGTTGAAGATGCATACTGGCTATCAACCTCTAAAATTCCAACAGATTGATGGTAAAGGCAATCCAAAGCAATATGTGGCGCAATTCATTGAGACATGCAATAAAGCTGGGACTTATAGAGATTACCTCGTCAAGCAGTTTGTCCGCTCGCTAAAAGGAAATGCTTTGATTGGTATACAGATCTCGAGGAGGGATCTATTGATAGCTGGGACCAACTAGAGCAAGAGTTCCTCAATCGCTTTTATAGCACAAGGCGCACTATGAGCATGGTGGAACTCACAAATACTCGTCAACGAAAGGGTGAACCAGTTATTGACTTTATCAATCGTTGGAGGAATGCAAGCCTCAACTGTAAAGACAGGCTTAGTGAAGCTTCTGGCATAGATATGCGCATCCAAGGCATGCATTGGGGATGGCGCTACATATTGCAAGGTATCAAGCCTAGCACATTTGAAGAACTTGCGACTCATGCCCATGACATAGAGTTGAGCATCCTTGACGCTTGAGCCTAAACTGCATGTTTCAATGCTCCTTAACGCACGAGCCTAAACTGCAAGTTATAATGCCCCTTAACGCATGAGCCTAAACTGCAAGTTATAATGCTCTTCAATGCACGAGCCTAAATTGTAAGTTATAAATGCTCCTTAACGCATGAGCCTAAACTACAAGTTATAATTCTCCTCAACGCACGAGCCTAAACTACAAGTTATAATGCTCATCAATGCATGAGCCTAAACTGCAAGTTATAATGCTCCTCAACACATGAGCCTAAACTGCAGGTTATAGTGCTTCTTGGCACACTAGCCGATATTGTATGTCACGAAAACTCTCCAAATTTGAACTAAATCTTTAAGACGTAAAGCTCTTCAAATTCGAACAAAGTCTTCAAGTTGTAAAGCTATTCAAATTTGAGCAAAGTGTTCAAGTCGCAAAGATCTTCAAATTCGAGGAAAGACTCAAGTCGAAAGCTCTTCAAAGTCGAGCTAAATCTTCAAGTCACAAAACTCTTCAAATTCGAGCCAAACTTCAAGTTACAAAACTCTTCAACTTTGAGCTAAATCTTCAAGTCACGAAGCTCTTCAAATTCGAGATGCATTTTTAGTTGCAAAGTACTTTAAAGTTGATCAAGTCTTCAAGTTTCGAAGTATTTCAAATTATAAGCTAAATCTTCAAATTACAACACTCCTGGATACACGAGCCTAAAACTG